GCTAGGCCCTGCCTGTCCCCAAGCTGGCCACAGGGGGGCACTTGATCTCCAAGGAGCTCCAGCTGAGCCCCTGCAGGCACCAGAACCTCTCCCCCGACGTGACCGCCTAGAAGGGTAGTGCCAGCTCCCACCCTCACCGCCCACTGCTCTTTGAACCCTCCCCTTTTCCTTTTTAAAACCTTTTATTCTGAAATAACTTTAGACTTACATGAGTTGCAGAGATGGTAGTCTCTGTATACTGTTCACTGTATGAGCTTCTGTATGAGCTTCCTCATAATGGTTAACGTCTTACATAACCATGGCTCTGCCCCTTTTATGTCCTTCTTGCCTGAAGAGGCAAGGAACCCCCCGCGGTCTGGGTGGGGAACACCTGCACTGCAGTCAGCTCCTGCTGGGTAAGCAGGCCTGCTAGTGCAGCTTCAGTGCACATGGGTCCCCTGGCGTCAAGTCCTTGGGGAGGGCGTCGTGGCCCAGGGCCCAGGCAGCAGGCGCTGCACGCTGACTGGCCGGCCAGGCGGTGCTCGAGCTCCTGTCAGGCAGATTCACCCACTGGGTGTCCCGGGGCAGACCTGGCCCTGCAACTCGGTGCAGCCATCACCTTCCAGGGGCGCGGTACCTCAGACCCCCCAGGTCGGGAAGGCATGGGGGAAGTCAGCTGTAAAGTACGCCGAGTCTGAGCCCCACGGTGGGTGCTGTGAGGAACGGTGAGGCCCTCCTCTGAGTCACTCTAACCTCCAGACCGGCCCTCCCCCCATACTCTCCCACCATCCCACCACCTCATCTTCCTGACAGTTTGGGGCAGAGGTTCTGTCCTCGCCTAATGGAAAGGAAAAAGTTCTAAGGGATCTAGAAGACCAGGAAATGAGTGATTCAGGTTTGTGAAGTGCGTACAACCAACCACCCTATCAAGGCTGACACAGCCCTCTGAAGTCCTCTGCTCTATAACCAGACGGATCATTTCTAATCTTTGTGGGCCTTGTCTGGGAGTAATGAACTCAAAGTACCCACCGCCCAGGGTTCGGACTACGTCACGTGAGATGCGCCCCAGGAAGGACAAACTGAACCAAAGGGAACAGTAACAGGGAGTGAGACTGGGACGTCTGAGTTTCTCTAAGCTGCCTGAGGTTCAGTGGTTCTAAGGGGAGAAAGATCTGGGAGAAGGGGAAGTGGATGTGTCCCGATTCCTGTGCCACGGGGCTGGGCAGACTGAGTGGCACTGTGCACGGAAGGCCCTCCCACATGTCCTGACACACTAGTGAACCCCGCGGTCCGTGGTAGCCGAAGGGAAACTCACAAGGGCCTCTCACAGGGCAACCTAATCTGGGGCTGATCTCAGGCCTGGATCGAGCAGGCTCCATCCGTCCGGAGCTGCAGGGGGGACTTTCTGTATGGCAGGAGCAGCGGAGCCGGCCCTCTGGCAGGGAGAATACAGGAAGGGGTTATTCAAGGGGTTCCTCAGCCCACTGTGTCCTCGGCTTCCCTGTCCAGAGCTGCCCATCCTGGATCGGGGGAGGCTGGGGACCTGGGCTTGTCATCTTGGCAGATGGCGCCCTGCCTGGAGCTCTCCTGCTGCAGTGACCCCAGGGTCTGGAGCGCCCGGGCCATCAGTGGGTAGGGTGGGCTCCGGCTGGTGTGAGAGAGGACCGTCCCGGAGCCCATTCACTCCTGGTCCCTTTTCTGTCTCAGCTGGGCCTGGACCCAGGTCCTACTCCTAACCTCTGTAAGCCTAGAGCTCCTTACCTGTGAAATAGGAATGACGGTAACAACTATCCCAAGGTACTGTTAGGACTGAATCAGGCGACGTGCTTATCAGGCCTCGGAATGAACAGGTTGCCTTCTCTCTGACTAGGCTTTCCTGGTGGGGGCTCTCGTCTCCCGGACCCAGAACAAGTCTGCCCGTGTTGCTGTGCGGAGCCACATGAAAGTGACCGAGACACTGTGTGTGCCCAGAGAGAGGGGAAAGGGAGGCCCCTGTGGGGAGCAGCTGATACAGTGGGAGAACTTGGGAAAGCTCACTACTAACCTGGCATATTCTAGCTACTATAGCAGGCTCCTGAGAGAGGAAGTTACCAACAGAGGAGGTGTAAAAATAGACATGCAAAAACAGAACTGAAACAGGATTGCCAAAAGACTGATTTAATTTGTAAGAGTCATGTATACATGAACTTTCAGAAAGTTTAAAACCCTACTGCCTATAACTGAGTTTGATGATGGTGGTGGTTTTGAGATTTTCTTGAAAGTGGCCACAGACTCTGAGGCCAAGGCTGACCATCAGCCATTTTAAGGATGTCATCAGGGGGAGAGAGCCTGGTGTTGGCTGCGAGTGAGCTGACCAGTAAAGCGTGGTCAGGGTCCCTCCTGAGCTGTGGACTTGGTGTGCGCTCAGATCTGTGATGGGGCACGAGGTCCTGGCAGGGCTCAGGCCCCCAGCCCCATCCTGAGGGAGAGGAGGAGTGCCGGGCTCCGGCCACCCTCCCCCTCCGCCAGGGTTTCATCCCCGCCCGCCACTGCTGGGTGAGAGCTTAGGGCAGGGGCATCCAACTCATTTTCACCGGGGGCCACATCAGCCTCAGGGTTGCCTTCAAAGGGCCGAAATAATTTTAGGAGTGTATAAATGTAACTGTTCCTTAACTGTTAAGGAGTTGAAATTACATTCAGCTTAGGAGGTGGGGCACATTTTGATACTGTGCATTGCCCAGGTATAAAAAACTAAGATTCTTGGTTATTCTTTTAGGGAATAAAACTCCCTTTTAGGAGATTCTGGTTACTCTCACTGTTGGGAGAGAGCCTGGCTGTACGTGAAGAAACGTCCCCCAGCCCTCTATAGGCTGCAGGACAGAATCTGGCTCAGTTTATAAACCGAGGTGGGTCAGCCCTCGCCAGCCAGACAGCAATGGACATTTCTTATCTCAACTCCGGCTGACTTGGTGTGAGGCAGCCGTATGGGTTCCGCAGTGCTTGTCCCTGTGGGGATAAGTGTCCTGAGAAGGAGGAGGGAGAGCAGCTGAGGAGCTCAGCCTCCCTTCTTCCCCTCATCATTCACAACGGTGTAAGCGGAAAGGCACCAGGCCTGCGCAGTGGCTTTCTGTGCCACTGGCCCGAGAGGCATGGGCTCTGAGGGGTGCAGGGTCTGTGCCAGGTCGGTTCTCACCCTCCCCTCTCCCCGCTCCAGTGTACGTGGTGGAAGACCAAAGAAGGGATGACCTGGGCCCCTCCACCTGCCTCACCGCCTGCTGGACTGCTCTCTGTTGTTGCTGTCTCTGGGACATGCTCACCTGACCGGCCCGGCCCAGCCGTCCTGCCAGCTCTGCAGCCACCGCCAACAGGCGTGCCTGCCTCCATCTCCTCTGATTGCTGAAATAAATGACTAGCTCTGCACAGACACTTCTACCTTCGACACAGTGGGATTCTAGATTAGCAGGGGTTGCTGCTGTTTAATTCAGTGACTTGATCTTTCTAATGTTCAAAATCCATTTCCTGTTGGCCTTTCACAAATGTGCTAAATGACCTTCCATTGTTTTTGTTTTTGGCCAAAGGCTTAGTTGTGAAATATATATATATACATAATTTTTAAATTATACATTCAAGATAGTGGCATAATGTAACATACTACTGAATGATTTCTCTGCTAACACCCTCTATGTTTCAATAAATTTGTCTAAACCTCAACTGTCTGTGTTACTGCAGATAAAATTTAAGCCCTGCTCGTGGCCACCCTCCAGTGTGCACCTTTTCATTCTGGCTGCTGTAAGATAGGGTGGGTGTCATTAGGAAAGCAGGTCCTGAGGCTGGGTGGCCGTCAGCCAGGTCACGGGGCTCTGGCCAAGCTGGCATGCTCTCCCTAGTCCCACTCAAAGATGGGCTCGCCGGTGAGCCAGCCATGGCCGCTTTTACCCAGAGCCTAGGAAAAGGCCTCTTCCCAACTGGGCTGTGCCTGCCGGGAAGGAGAGCAGGAGCCCACAGTCAGGGTGCAGGCTAGACCCAAAGCTGTGCCCTCCCAACACACAGCCACCCCGAGGGGGGATGGAGAGGAGAGAGAGAAGGGCTGTCATAATTCAAACCAGCCAGGCCACCCATCTCTGCTTTGGCCACAGGGTGGCGCTGAGCTGCCGAAGCAGCGAGTCAGTTTCCCTCAGTGGGCCTGCCCCCCCAACCCCAAGAGGCTGCAGGTGACAGCTCCCTGCCTACCTCCCCTCTGAGCAGTGATGTGCTTATAAATATTTTAACTACCAGATCTCTCTTAAAGAACAAACACACAAAAAGCCATGAGTTTTCAGCACCACCTGATGTGCATGGAGTGAATGGTCCCACCACAGCTGATTTCAAGCTACCACGTCCGGATCGTAGGGGTGGAAAGAGAAGTGCAGGAGCGCCCTGCTGCACAGCAGCGGTTCCCCCACCCAGCTGCAACAGATTGCTAACCTCGAAAACAGATCACGGGCAGACTCAGTTCTTAGGAAGGGATATGTTCTGAATACTTACTACCCTTGGTCTTTAATCATTATAAATTACGTAATTTAATTTTTAACAATGGCTGTGTTTAACAAATGGCTTGCAACAAAATTCCTAAAAATTGAGTAACTCCCCCGAGCCCATGGAAGCCAGCTCAAGACACCACTGCCCCCAAGCCTCTAGGCAGCCTCAGGATTGTAGCATCCACCTATGACCCTGACCAAAGGGAGAGTCTTAGAGGTGCTGCTGGTTTATTACTAGATTTTCTTTCAAATGTTTGGGAGGAAGCAGAAAAGGAATCTTTAGGCAAGCTGCCACCAAGGAACTGCTGTCCTGCTCACTTAAATTCAGCTATGCTCTGGTCTCCTTTTTCTCAGATCTGCGCATTCCAGGGCGTTCTCTCGAATGATCAGAGGGAAGCAGCAGCGGGGAAGGCTCTGATGCAGAAGGGTCAGGGTCACAGCCCCAGAGAGGGACAGGGAGGAGCGGAGGGAGAGGTAGTCTCTGCCTCTCTGTTCTCACCCGTCAGCTCAAGAAAAGACTTAGCAGAGTGGCACAGATGCCTTTTATTGGTCTGACCAGCATGACTCGCAGGGGATGTGGGCAGAGCACCCCTGTCTGTCCTGGCTCCCATCTTCTCTCTCCTGGGAGTTTATGACTCGCCCCCCACAGAGAGAGGAGTGTCACAGGCAGGGGCGGCAGGCAGAGCTGGGGTCAAAACCGTGGGGTTGGGATTTGACAGGGGCGCAGGGTGATGCAGAAAACACAGGGTTACCAACCATCCAGATAAAATGTCCATCAGGGTAAAGCAGAGGCCATTTTCCTCCCTGCATGAGCCCCTTGTCCTTGCCAGGAATGGGAGGGAGGGGTCAGTAGGAGAAGTGCCCCCTAGAGGATTCCTACTGTGCCCTTCGGGCCATCAGCATCTCCCGGATGTTGTCCTCAGCTTCCTTCACGCTGCGCTCCAGGTAGGATTTTTTCTGCTGCAATATGAGAGAGAAACAAAGGTCAGGGTGAATGGGTTGGGTTGGCAGATGCAACTTTTATGCCCAATGGTCACAGCTTCTCCTCTGTGACCAGTGACTTCCAGGAGCATATTGTTGACTGGGAGCCAGGCCCGCACACCTGCCCAAAGTGCTCCCCCGACCCCTGGTCCACGAGGAGGAGGTCGCCTGGCACAGAAAGCAGAGTGCTGTGGAAGGCAGCAGCTCTCTTCCCCCAGAAGGGAGCAGGCTCTAAACACAGGCGTCTGGGTTCATGAAGTTACACCAGACAAAGGCCAGGAAATTCCAGGACAGAGCTCCGGCCCCACAGCAGACTGTCTCAAGGTTTTCCACGTTCCCAGCCAGGCCCTGCAGCCGCCACTGCTGCAGAACGGAGGGTGTACCCCCTGCTCTGTCCAGCAAGACGACAGGGTCTGAGTCCTAAAAAGCCGTATCACACATCTCACCAGGGCAGATGAGTCACGATGAAATCTGCTTTTCTAATGAAACTGCCGCCTGCTGGGAATCCAGGACAATGACACACCAAGTAACACGGGCCTTTAGGAAGTTCACCTCCTACCCCATCTGGGTACTAAATTAAAATCTCAACTTAGACAAAGAACTTCACTTTTAGGAGTCACATCTGGACTAGTATTACAAAAGATTAGTCAAAGGAAATGATGTCTGTGCATTATTTGCCCTGTGGTTACCCCAGAAGTATGGTGGCTTCACCACTGGAACCTGCCCTGAGGACATAGTTGTGGCTGCATTCCCTCTTAACAGACATGAAATGAAGGCTTCCTTTTTGAGGAATACTCAAAATAACCCCCTCCAAGGATGTGTGTGACTGAGCCACACCGGGGCAAGCAGAGCAGAGCCCTGGCCCAGGCAGCCCAGACACAGCCAGTGCCTTTGTCTCAAACCTTCCCCTTCATGCACGCAGCTGCGGCCTCATGCCCCACCCCCACCCCCCGCCCAGTGCTCGGGAGACCCAGGGCAACCAGGGCGAGGCTAGGGCAGAGGACAGGCGAGCAGCCCGGTCTGCCAGGCCCTGCAGGAAAATCTGAATGAAGGCCTCTGTTGCTCGAAGCCTACACCACTAAACCTCTCTGCATATCCCTGCCTCTTAACTTCTCCGTGCTCTGCCCAGACACCTAATAAATGAGACATCTAGAGACGCTTTCCTGTAGGTGCCTAATGCTGTGGCATCCACAAATTGTTATCAGTTTTTGTGTGAAACTAATTCCTGTTTGTCTTCTCCTTCAAATTTCCTGAAGACAAGAAAGAGTCATATCTCTTACCCATCTCCCATCTGCCCAATCGGCACACAATCCCTAACACACAGGAGCCCCACAGAAACAGTGACTGTAATCTGACGGTCACGAACGCGTGCTGTTGCTAAAGGAGTCTGTCTAATCACATCGCTGAACCCGACAGAGCCCTACCACTGTGGTGTCAGAGTGGGAACTTAAACTTCCTTCGATGAGCCACCCTGAGTTAGAGAGAGAGAAATCTAGTAACTCCTGACACACCACTGAAGAATGTACATGGACCGGGTGTCGCACAGAAGGGGAGCAGCAGCTAGACAGTGACTGCCATGTAGCCTCCGGCCCCGTGGGAGTCTAAGGAAAAGGCTGGCGGGGCAGACGGCTGCACCCTGCAGCGGTCAGTCATCTCGGGGTTCAGGGCCCAGGTGTGCACGTTCCATCGCCGCCAACTTGCCGCCCCAACTGGCAAAACCACAAACTTGAAACATTAGCAAGAGATTTTCTACCTACTGCCCAGGCCTCTGGACAGTCAAACTCATCAATTCAGATCAAAATCAAAGTAGTTCTTATCTTTAAAAGCCTTTACAAGGTCTATTCCTTCTGTCTTCCACTTCCAGTTACATGATTTTTCATGATTTTACCACTAAATATCCTATGTGTTCAAGTTTCAAAAATGAACTTGTCTGTTTTTAAATCTTTGGTTTAACTAAACGTGCCAAACATTAAAAATAACTTTTTTCATCCCAACAGGTGGAGCATCCCTAGCACAGAGGGACCTGCTTTCTAGCCGTAATGTGACAGGTCTTGTCTCATTCTCAAGCATGTCTAAACTCCAGAAACCCTCATAATCAAACCCAGACCAAAACCATGTCTCATACAGAGGTATGTTGATGTCCTGGCCCCTTTCACAGTGAATGTAACCTAATTTGGAAATAGGGTCTTTGAAGATGTAACCAAGTTAAGATGAGGTCATACTGGATTAGGCTGGGCCCTAAATCCAGTAATCAGTGTCCTTATAAGAAGGCCACATGAAGACAGAGGGACACCCAGACCCACAGGGAGAATGCCATTCATCATACTTCGGAGGCAGAGAGTGGAGGGCTGCACTGATGAGCCAAGGGAGGCCAAGGACGGTCAGCAACCACCAGAAGCTCGGAAGAGGAAGGACGGATTCTTCTGCAGGCCTTCGGAGGGAGCAGGGCCCTGCAACACTGGTTTTGGACTTCTGGCCTCCAGAACTGTGCGAGAATACATTTCTGTTGCCTTAAACCGCCCAATTTATGGTAATTAGCCATGCAGCCCTAGGAAGCCAACACAGTGCCCGAAATGAGGGACGCCCCCGGAGACAGAATCTACCCCCAGGCTCTTCTGGACACACAGCGCCCGACCACACTGAACTGCACAGGCATGGGTAAGGATCCGTACCTCCCCCCCAACACTGTGGCAGAGTAAACCCAAGAGAACCCAGGCTGCCAGAGAATGGAGAAAATTAAGGAATCAATGATTACGTCAAACTTTTTTCTCTTTAGATCTCCACAGCTTCCTCCTAAAACTACTTAGTCAAACCAGAAACTGCGTGGACTTCAGCCTTCCCCATTTCTGTAAATGACAACTCCGTTCTTGCAATTGCTCAAAACAAAAACAGAACAGTCATCTTAGACTGTTCTGTCATTTCTGACATCCAATCAACCAACAAATCCTGTTAACACTATGTCGAAACCTATCCAGAATCTCACCTTAATGAGCAGCCTTGTAGGTGGTCTCCTCTCTTCTACCCTTGACCACCCTGCCTTCAGTTTCTTCTCCAGTCATCTGTGGAGTCATCTTTTAACACTTAAAACCCACCAATGGGTTTTACTCAAAAGTAAAGGGCAAAGCCACATAGCCTTGTTCTCAGCTGATTCCCCGACCTCCCCGCCCACAACTCCCTCCCCCTCACCCAGCTCCAGCCACAGTGGCCAGCTGTCCCCGCAGGTGCCCTCTGGCCCTCTCTGAGTAGGAACTCGCTTCCCCAAAGAGCCGCGTGACCGTCACTTCCTTCAGGCCTTCCAGTGCCACCTTATGGGAAAGACCTTGATTACGTGCAGCTCCGAACTCCGTTCTCATCCTGACTTGCCCCCACAGCTCCCACCACCAGGAGCAGTCTGTCTGCCTGCCCTCCCTTACGAGAAAAGGCGATGAGGGCAGGACTTTGTTCTGTTTGCTGACACAGTCCCAATGTCTCGAAGAATGAGTGGTACATACTAGGAATGCACAATACCTGTTGAGTGTGTTTATTATGGGAAATGATGCCTCACTGATTTACCTGTATGCACACTGCTCCTTTTTAGTTCTCCCTGCCGACTGGAATGACCAAGGAACACCCACCAAAGGAAGCGAAGGCAAAAACTGACCGTTCTCCTTCACGGCAGTTTGCAGTTTTGGGCAACGGGTTCTAACCTCTGCCTCTGGATATCCGTAGGTCTAAAACATCAGTGCCTTACTGCCGCAAACAGAACAGGCCCTACGCCTTATCAGGCCAGCCTGTGAAACTGGACCATGAACCATCCCAATTCCCCACATGCTGAAGGGGGAAATCCCTGAGGAACTGTGCAGTGAGAGGGCTGCTGTGAGGGACCAGGGGCTATGCCGCACGATGTCTGGGAGGCATTTTAAACCCAAACCCCCACCACGAGTCCTGGGAAGGCATTTGCTGGCCTCGCTACAGCATTTTTCTGTCTTGCTGAGCTATCTCCTTCAGAACACTTTCCCGAGGAAATTCTCTAATGGCACCAAACCACAAATCTCTGGGTGCAGCGACATTCTTGTGGGGCCTTGTCCCAATGCGAAATTCGGAGATTTCCTGTGGGGCCCAGTGTGGCGGGGAAATGAAATTGTTGGGCTCATTGCTCATCAGCCTGAGGTTCTTCTTCCTGGGAGTCAGACCGAGGGGCTGGTGTTTCATTCTCATCCTCTCACGGAATGAAGAGGCCCAAGTCCCTGGAACTTGCATGACATGACTCAATCCCTCAAATAGATTCCTGAGGTCATTCATCTTGTGATGCTATCTCTTAGACTTTTTTCCTTAGAAAGTTTGTCCTCTCTTTCTCTAAATTAACATTTTTCCTGCTTGTCACGTCTTGGGGTACAGAAAAGAGTTTTCCCCTTCCTCCTCTTTTTCTCTATTTGTAAAATGAGGACTTGGACAATACCAGTGTCCCTACTCCTCCATTTTTTCTTTTGTCAAAGAATTCTTTCTTGAAATGACCTCTTGTCTTAAAGACAAAATAAGACACGTATAGTGGAACTCGGGGAAGGGGGGGACATGGTGGAAAAAAGCAGACCTCTGGCTTGGCCCCCGCCCCCAATCCAGGCTGCAGGGGCAGCAGACCCAGGGGTCTTGGTTTCCTTTGCCCCTGACGTTCTGTGAGGTCTGTGCTCAGACACCCTCTATCTGAGCTCCAGGTTTCAGACCCTGAGTTTGACCTACCCTGGCTACTCCTTTCTTCCTTTGCTGAATCCCCAGCTTCTGTAGACAACTGCCAACTTCAAGCTCTACTACTATTAATTTTAACACCTAAAGCAAAGGCTACCCTCTCACTGTCTCTCCCAAGACTTCCAAATTAAAGACCCAAGGGCCTCTGATTCTCGTGTCGTCTCAGTTTGCAGAACTGTACAATGGTCAGAGGGTGCCAGTGCCAACAGCGGGCGGGGAAGCTTAGCAAGAGGCCAAGAATTCACTGAGGGCTGAGG